GGGCGGCAGCCTGCTGCATGGCTACCCACTGGTGACTTGGGCCAGCTGGGCACACAGAAATACTTCCCTCCATAACATTTCTGTAGAGGGATAAGGCCTTCTGTGCCACCCCGCTTGTTTGAGCTACATCGCTCAGGTGTCAACAGGGAGCATCATCTGAAAGTGAGAGGGTGAAATGTAGCTAGTCATGTGGTTAGATTAATCAAGGGCATGCTGCTAATTGCATAGGAAAACCTGGTCTCTGGCTCCTTGGGGAGAGGAAGCAGAGGCGGGTAAGGATTTATCTGATCGTTTGTTTTGGGCGATCTGGCTCTCCAGCCCCACTCTCTCCAAGGAGAGCAAGCGTCAAAGGGGCTGGGGTCCTTCACTGGAGAGAAGCATGCAGTCCCAAGGCAGGTGACCCCTACGCGGGTGGTAGGGCTTACTCTGCTCCCTCTGTGCCCCACAGGTCACGCTGACGGCCGAGACTGACTGCAGCTTCATCACCTGGCCAAGGAAGAAGCTGTATCTCCTCCTGAGGAAGGACCACTACGTTGCCCGGCTTTTCTCCTCCCACCTGGGCTACGACATCTCGGAGAAGCTCTACTCCCTCAACGAGAAGCTCTTTGCCAAGTTCGGCCTTCGCTTTGATATCCGCTTGCCCAGCCTCTACCATGTCCTCGGGCCAGCCTCTTCTGAGGGGGACCCAGAGGACTGCGAGGAGCCACCACCTGCCTCTGGCCAGGCTGGTGCCTCCGAGCCCCCTCCACAGCCACCACCACCGCCGCCGCAGGCTCCGCGCCCCCGGGCATCCCGGCCTGACAGTGACCTGCTGGGTGAGGACTCCACCAGTCTTGTCTTGGAAGATTTTGCTGAGTTGCCGGGGTCTTTTATGGACTATGTGAGTGAAGGGGAGTATATGAAGTGAGGGCACTCCTGGCATGGGCACGCCTCACCCTGTGTGGGACCCCCGCGTAAGTACCCGCTTGCGGAAGCAAGTCTTTCCCGCGATGCAACTGCCTGGGCAGAGTGGTGGCCCCCAGCCTCTTGCCCTCGTTTGCCGTGGGTTTGCTCCTCCGCAGCTTTTTTTTGCCTGCTGCCCCAAGGAATCCCGGGAGATGGGCTCCAGCTGTGTGATTTTCTTAAGGAAAAGCAGCAGTGTAGAGGCTTGACGCCAGGCATCAGCTGCACCGTGGGGTGGAAGGGTCAGTAACCCAGCCGGAGGAAGCTCTTCCCTGCCCTGTCCTCTTTCCATCCCTCAGGGGAGGCAGAGAAACTGAAACAGTGTCCAGGCTGGTGGGTGGTACACGAGTGCTCACAGAGACCCCACAAGGCTCGACTTGGCTCGCCATGAGGTAGAGCTGTGCCTGGAGATACGCCAGTATTGAGCTGAGGAAGACATCTGCTTGGAGAGAGCAGACAACCCAGGAGATGCTGACAGGGTAGAAACACCTCCAGGGTTTACAGTGGATTGATCGTGGGGACTTGCTGTACACCTTGCAAATGCTGAATCTGGGCATGGGGAGGAAGCTCAGAGTCCTTCCTCCCTGTGCCCACCGCAGCTCATCCCAGCATTTGCTCTGTCCTCCTTTTTGCTGCTGAGCTTCAGCTCAGCCAGATCAATAAGGTACTGGAAAGACTGCCCTGTGTGGTATAGCTCTTGCCTCCAATGACCGTGGGTGGACTGACAGGCTAAACGTTGTTTTAACACACCCCAAACTCTGCTTTCTGGTGAGTGGGAATGAGATGCCCTCTTCCAAAATGCCAACTCTTTACTCTGCAAGGGAAAAATTCCCGGGCCTGGTGGATATTGGGGCAGCGAAGCAATGTAGGCGAACAGCAATAGACGGGAGGGTGGCTCGTGCTTGAAATTCAGATCCAAGTGGCCAAGAGAGAAATTCCATGCTAAGCTACTTTTAGCGAGCCGCTGCATGCCAGCTGCTGCACACCAGCTGCAGACCTCTGCCACTGCCCCGTAATAGCTGCTTTCTGGCATCCAGCTGCCAGACACCAAGCTTGGGACTGGGATTTCTGTCCCAGAAGCAACCACTGCGTGTGTCCCAGTTGGGCCTACGTGGCAGGGAGGAAGTTGTAGGGCTGGGCTGCAGCGGGGGAGACCATCTTCCAGCAGGCATCCTTGAACACGGTGCACCATCGCACCCTGGTCTTCCCTGCACCCTACTTCTGGGCTGCAAATGCTTGGGCTGTGGACTCACTGGCAGGGAGCATGAAGCAGGACACAGTAACTCCTGGCATGAGCCCTGACAAATCTGCAGGAATCTTCCCTCCCTGCTGTGCTTGTGCACAAGCCTCACTGCTGTGACGGCAAGGGGACCGTCCCTCCTAGGTGCTCTAAATGAAAAGGCTGTCTGGGTCAGACAGCACTTGCTAGTTGCAGTAGGCCTCTGTGGAAGAGGCTTTTTTTGCTGTTTCATCCAGTTGCTATTCTTAGTTTTTGAAAACAGTGGAACTGGAAGATCTTCCTGTTTTGTACAGTTCTGCTTTGAGTTGAGTCATGTGCCTGCTCCTGTACTGCTTCCATGCCTCTAAACTTAAAATCTGGGATATGATGAAACTGGCCAGAGAAGGAACAAGTATTTGGGTTTGCTTGAATCAGATAAAAAGTCAGCAAGAGCTTTGCCTAGGTTTTTTTTTTTCAAAAAGGAGACAGAGAGAGAACAAGAAAAAAAAATCCTTATTTGTTTTCTAGCTTAGAAGTCCTAGGAATGTGAAGTCCCTGGTTTTGCCGGTAGACTGCTGGAGATACGAATTTGCAGCTTTTTCAGTCCTTACTTGGAGAGGCAGGAACACTGAATCATTTATGAGACAGCCATCCTCCTAACCGTCAGGCATGTCTGTTGAATAGATGCAATCAAAAATGAATGCATTTAGCGTTGTAAATGTGGTGAAATCTCTTTATCTATGCTTTGCTTGTATTTTGTCTTCTCAGCAGAAGGATATCCATTCTCAGGTCATTGGCAGAATTCTCCTGGTTGATCAAGCTCAATAAAATCAGAATTTCAAATGCAATTTAAAAAGGAAGGAGGCAAGGAACACCATAGCTTTTTTTGAATCATTTCCACACATTTTTGGTAATGAGTCAATACTGTAAACATACACACAAGAGGTGTGTGTGTATGTGTGTGTGTTGGGGAAAGCTTGTGCTACACAGCACAAAGCTATTCTTTCTTTCACACAATTCTTTTAAAACATGTTGGAAGCTGGAAGCTTTTGTCTTTCTAGATCTTGTGAATGAGGCAGTATCAAAATATGCTGATACTTGCAGTAGAGACCTGCAATAAAAGTCCAAATGTTTCAGAGGCCAGTATTTGGGGTGGGAGAGGAGGATGATCTTCCTTGTCTGTCAGTCTGGAGACAATAGCCAGTGTGGTATTTTAATTTCTAAGGTACTTAGACAAAGAAACACAAACTCTGTTTAGTGTGTCCATAACAGTGGAATGAGCGCTTCCTTGTTACTCTGCTCACCACTTGGGTATCCTAATCACATCACGTCCCAGCAGCACAACAGCAATTGTCACACCCGGACAGTATTCCACAGCGACTTGAGTGCCTAACCACAAAAATTAGTGATATGGAGGGACTGCAGTTTTCCCTTCTGGCCAGGCACTTGTCACAGCTCAGTGGATGATCTGAGCAGGCCTGCCATGGCCCAGGGAAAGCAATTTCATAACTTTTGCCTTAGAAGTGGTGAAAACATCCTTAGTAAACAGGAATATTCCCTGCAGTGTCATTGTTCAAAGTAAGGATAGCTGCGGTCCCAGAGATCAGAGCTCCCCTGAGGCTTTCTCCAGGTCTGTGCTCTCATCTCCTTTCCCAGCAGCTTCCAACCTCGGTAATCACCTTCCAGCTCTTTAAATTCCCTGTGCTGAAGTGCTTCTATGGATGACGTTCCTTTTCATTTTCTGTCGCTACAACAGCCACCTTGCAATGCTACAATGCAAGAGGGCAATTCTTGAATGCCCGAAGTGCTGCACAGATCATGCAGAAGAAAATATTCCTGGGAGATACATTGGCCTACTAGTCTTTTCATCTAGTTCCTTGAAAGAGTTTCTAGTCTGCTTACAAGCAAGACAGACTGTGATATCTTGCTGATGAGTACATTCTTTCTCTGAGGAGGAGAGATATGTCATTAACTTACAGGCTGCCTGTTCAAAGGTTCTGTTCAAAACTTGCTTTAACAGTGTACTGCTGTATAGCTCAATGCTCCATAGCAAACTAAGCTTTATTCCTTGCATGAAAATTCAAACAACCAAACGCCACCTGCTTTTTCTCTTTTTCATATCCATTTGCTCTAGTTCATTGCTATCAAGTGCTTGCAAGATGTGGAGCTGCTGCTACTTAGTTTTGTACAGTTACATCTGGGGCTGGCTTTCTATCTGGTGGGTAAGGCAGATGGATGGATGATAGCCTGTAGCTTGGTATCTAAGTTAGTAGGAATTGGTTTATACCTGCTTTGAGAGCAAAACCGAAGGAGCTGTGGGCTTTTAACTGATATTACAGAAGGTGCTTTGGAGGAGTTTGTTTTTGCTGCCTCAGGATGGGTGCGTAAGTCCATTTTCTGAATTATCACATGTTGAATAATTGCATAGTTTTGCATGCTAATTTAGGAGGGGAGGGGAGAAGGACAGGTAATGGTGGGCCTCATGAGGTTTGTGTCTTGGAAAAATTTGGAAATAAAAATTATTCCTGTGATAATAATGGTGCTCTCTTTCTTTCTCTCTCTCTCTCCCTCTCTCTCTCTCTCTCCCTGCTCTCATTTTCCTCCTGCAGCCTCTGGAAACCTTCTCCGAAGTTCCCCCCACCCTGTCTGCAAAGGACGAGCCCCTCTGGCTCCCACTCAGACCCCTGAACTCTAGGGAACAACAGGCTGTTTTGATCCCGAAGCCCCTCCGAGGGAGCGTAAGCTCACATAGGTTTCTGACCAGAGACACACTTTAGCAAGCACTGAGATGTCTGCCTGCAGACGCATACACTCGGGAGCACGTGAAGCACACGCGTGAGACTGTGGTGTGACACTCCAGCACCTCCCACCCCACGGTTGTTCACCAGAGCTGCCTGCCCCAGTGTACTTCCCCGGTTTGTTTTCTAGTCCTGCCTCTCTGAGGTGTCGGCAGCTCTGATACCAAGGTACACTGATATCGCTGCAAGCGATACCAGCCTGCTCGCAGAATCTGTGTTCCCTTTGACTTAATGATTCCCATTAAAGTCAGAGATTAAACTACCGGTGTTTGAGGATTTGGAGAGGGAGATAACACCATTTGAAAGGCTTGAGGTGATCTCAAGGCAGGGGGGAAAAAGGACAGGGGAAAATGGGCTACCTGATGGCTTTGGTAATGGGCTTGTAATGGAGAGCATGATATGGAGATTTGATATCATGCATCCCACTGGGCATTCACTGTAGTAAGACTAGAAATTCCTTTTCCAGGGGTTAGGATTTCTCATTTATGACAAGCACCGCTTCTCAAAGAAGTTACCGACTTCTGGTGAAATGTCGGTTGTTTGAGTTGATTCATTTGGAATAAGAAAGGGAAGGAATTGGGACTGGGGGCATGTGTAGGCAAGAAGGAGAGCCTGAACCCTTTTTCTTTTTGTGCTGGACGGGGGATGACCTCAGGGTGCACACAGCGAGTGAAGAAATGAGTGAGTACAAAACATCTCTATGGAGAGCAGCCACTGGTAGGAAGAAGTGTGGAGATGGAAGGCCTCTTCCAAGTTCAGTTGCAACAGGCTGACAAGCTTCCCCAGCCATTTCCTCTGTCAGGGAATCGGAGATGGCAGTCCCAGTGGAGGAACTCTCTGTTCCACAGAGCCTGGTGCAACCAAGCTGGGCAGTGAGGGTAGCAGCGTCTCCAGGGCAGATATCCAGGGGAGGAGCAAGGAATGTCAATCCCCCCATCAGCATGCACAGGGCAGGGCGTTCCTCAGTGCCTCTTGGTCCTTGGCACACACATCCTGCGTGTGGGGCTGGCCCCGTGTCAGCTCCGGGCTGGTGGAGGCAGCTCTACCTGTCTTGCACTGCTCACACAGGGGCTATGGCCCAGAAACCGGTTTGGCGTGTCTTGCGAGTTTCGGCTGGATGAAATCTGCGCCCTTGGGATCTGGCACTCTTGCTGAGGTCTGGAGAGGCCTCTGAAGTGGTGGGTATGTGGGATCCATGGCGTACAGTGCTCCTCGTTGCTGCTCACCTTTGCTGTCACCCCAGGGCAGGAGAACGGGGCTCCCCCAGGCAGCTGCACCCATCCTGCTAATGGTTGTTACCATGCTCTGTTGCTGCAATCTTGCTTCAGCCTGACCCCATTGCCCTTCACAGCTAGGAAATGCCTCCAGAGCATTTGAGAGCAAATGAGAGCTGCTGGGGTCCCTTCTGCAAAGGAACCAAAATGCACAATGAAACTGCATCCGTTGTGGTGCTTTATACACCTCCCTGCAGTAGTGGACTGGGTTGGGCTGAATTACACACTGCCCTTCACAGGTGCCTGCTGAGGTTGTATTCCAGTCTTCAAAAAGAAGCTCCCTGGAAACCCTTCAGTCATGGCACCAACTAACCTGTATCTCTGTCAGGTTGTCAGAGCCCAGCTCTAACTCTCTCCTGAGTGTATGCTGGAGATGGTGTTTGTTAGCTGGCCTTCCAAACAGCCACACGGCAGGGACCAAAAGCTTGGATGTGAGCTGAAAGCAGGAGCTATCCCTGCAGTGACACTGTCTAGTGGAGCAGTAGTGACAGCTCATGCCAAATGACTGAGGCTTCCTCACGGCAGAACTGCCTTTAGCATGTCCCTCTCTCCTGACCATAGTGTTCCTGGTGCACTTCTCTATCACCCAGTGAAGCCAGTCCAGGGAACCAGAGAAAATGGTCTATAGAAGATGTGGTTTGTGGGCAGAAGTGATGTAAGACTTTCTCCTCTTTCATTTGCATATGCATCAAGGTGGTGGAAAAGGTGTGGATGGGTGAGGGCTGTTTCTATGTACGTGTCTCTCATATTGTAATCTTTCACCAATTCTTTCCAAATCTTGGCTACGTTTCCAGGTCTGAAAGGCTGTGCTGAGTTCCTGGGACTAATTTGTGTTAGGTGGCCCTATAGCTATGATGCTCCATTCTCCTCATATTACCTTCTATTCTGGGCAGTTGTTCAAAGCAGTGCAAAATTGGATGCAAGAGCACTACCGTGCTCCTGGTGTCTGTTTCACTTCATGTGAGCTTCAAAGAGAACAAGCCAACAGCCAGAAGAGCTGCTCCAGGCCTGTCACGGGAAGGAGATTCATTCTGATTATTTAGCAGGAGCACTAACGTGAAATCAATAGGGTCTCTGAAAGTGTCTTGTAGATAGGACTAGTGAGTTTCCCATTGGAGAGTTGGCTAAGAATGACTCCTTCCTGTGCCAAACCTGAACCACACAGTTTCCCCTTGATGAGGAAAAATAATACTTCCCATTTTTAATATGAAGTTCTCAGGACACTTTAATATAAACCACAAATTAATCATCCCAATACTCCTGTTGTAGGAAGAGTGATATTATCTTCTTTCATATAGATCCGAACCTTGAGATTAAATGACTTGCCTGTCTCACTTTCAGAGCTGGGTACAGAATCCATAAGATAAAAGTCCCAAGCCAGTCTTCTAACTGAGAGGTCTTGATGTAACCAATCAACCTTGTACTTGCCGATCTGCCACACACTTCTTTTCCTTGACACGCTGTCCCTAATGCAGGAAGTAAAAAACCCATCCAGTTTTATGGTGAAAGTATCATCTGTGAGCAGAGAGCAGCAATAGGTTTCGGGCCCCTTTCCGGTTTTGGGTATGCCTGCATGCTCCGACGGCAGTGCTAGGCACAAGCAGCGGGCAGCTCGGAGGAGATGTCTCTGTTGCCATGGAGGGTGAGGTTCCAGGGCAGGCATGACATTGTCCTGCTGCGGGAAGAGCACAAGGAAGTCAGGCTGTGCACTAACAGGGGAGGTTACTATCCTAACACAGAGGCAAGCAAGCTGCAGATGGACCTCGTGCTGCTTTGCAAGGGTATGATGAACAGGGTGCTGTGTCCTGGCTGGGATGAATTGGCTGGAGGGGTGCGTATGGGGTTGTGTCCTTCACCTTTCCACTGCCTCTTCCTAGCAGTACCATTGTTGCTCTGAGTGCTCCCAGTTTAGTGATAAGAGCATAGTTGTGAACCTGTGCAGCTCTACAGCTTTCTATCTGAACCACAGCCAAGTCCAGTGCTTCCAGGGGTGCAGGTTAGCACACCTTTAAGGCAACATGCCATGCTGTCCCATTCATAAGTGACACAAAGCCATGTATTTGCACATTCATCCCAACTTTGGATGCAAAGCACGCTAGTAAGGAATACTGCTTATGCTCAAGGGAGTGCCTGGTATTTACATAGGAATGCCTCTTTTTTTCCCTATCTGGGCCTACTAGATACATTTTTACTGCCTTGTGCTCGAGTCTCCTTACTGCCCATCAGAACAGAATTTGAATGTGAGCCCAGTCTCCCTCCTGCTTCTGGTTTTCCCCGTTTTGGAGTACCCACTAGCTTGCTTCTGCCTGGGGCTGGCGTAAGAGTCAACTCAGAAGCAATACGGACAGAGTTTAATGTGTCAGTACAGACACAGCTATTTTTCCCTGCCTGCAAGACCTCTGGATTTGCGAAACTCCTGGCAAGAATATTGTATTATGGAGAAGACCATTAACTCTTTCAGGATGAGAAGGACTTGGCTGCTTCTACTCTGGATAAGGAAATTATGGCTTAAGGCATATCCTCTACAATGCCTGATCCAGAAAATGCCAAAATGGCTGTCTTTAACCTTAGTGCTTTATAAACCTGTGCAGTATAAGAAGCAGAAATGTATTACTGGTCTTCTGTTGTCTCATCCTGAAAAATGTGTGTCTGTCATGTGCGTCTGTCATGTTTCAAATGGGGGCTCATTGTAGACAGGGGGAAGATGGAGAGAGCAAGCAAGGACAAAAGGAACAAATTCTAGTTAGTACAAGCTTTTGCCATGGTTTGTGACTTAAGCATCTTCAAGGTGATGTGAGCTGCAGCCATTTTCCTTCCATGGCACAACACTTTTATCCTGGGGGAAGAATCATAGAAAACTCCTAGAAAACTACCTTGGAAGTTTTTCTCTCTAACAGGTAGAAAATGATCTACATAGGGATGGGAGAGACCTCTTTACATGTTTATCTGTATGGGAGAGAGAACTGTTTCAAACCACAGGCTGCATCCACAGGCTCAGTGGATCCCTGTAAGATATTCCTGTGACTTACTTGCTATCAAGAGGCAGCGGGGCTACACAGAACTTGCCGACAATGAATGACTCATCCTTCCTCCAAAATTGATTCTTGGAGAGATACTTCAGTGTCACGCTGTTTATCTGGCAGAGGGGAGCTCTGTGGGCCAGCAGCCGTTTGCCCATCTCCTGGTGCTTAGGTCTGCAAGGCAGGGTGAGAGATGTGCGGGAGAACATTCAATCAACCTGCAGATGCAGGCCGTATGCAGATGTGTTGAAACACTGGAGGAACCTGAGGTATTATTGTGAAGCCCTCACATACTAAAATGGAGTGAGAAGACTCATCTGCCAAAACAGGGCACTGCATGAGAGTCTTATTGGCTGTCTCTCCATGTTTTATTTCTGAAGTCAGGAAAATTTCTGTATAAATATCCTTCCTTCCATCACAAAATTATAACAATTCTTCTTGCTATTGCATGTAGATTGAAACACTGCCCAGATTGCTACAGAGAGGTAAGTGGTAGATAAGGTCAACATCTACGAAATCATGAACGGCACGGATAGGGATTGGTTGTTCACCATTTCTTCCAGTGCAGGAACTAGGCGTCATCAAAGAAAGCTAACAGGTGGC